AGAGTTCCCCTATCAATGGATTTTATTACTGCTTCTAATTTAAGATTATAATTTGCAAAAATTTATGTTGAAATAGGGGTGAATGAGGAAATCCCTAATTTTTTGAATGTTGTTCTTAATAATGGCCAAGCTACTTCCATAACTGTTGAAGTGCCCTGGCTACCATCTTGTTATATAAAATGCAAAATATTAGGACATAGTGAGAAATGATGCTTGGAAAAATCAATTATTGCCCCAACTACTTCACAAGTTTGAAGAAAAAAGGGAGAAATGTAATCTAACTCAGTGGTCAAAATTATTGGAGGTATTGAAGCATTGCAGGAATCGGTGTCAGCTGGTACAAATGTTATGGATGTGCAAACCATTAAGGAGTGTGGTATTGAAAAAGAATCAGCTTGTCCTAAAACCTTCACTGAACCTAAAGATATTGCCGCTGAGGGTGAGCCCTCAAATTCTGACCTTAATATCTCTAAAGAAGAAGGTAAAGATGCTAATCAACCTAATATTCACAAAGAATCTACTGATAAAGGTGAGCCCTCTACTTCTATTCATACTGTTTCAATTGATAAAGGAAAAGATACAAACCAATCATCACTTCATAAATGGGGTAGAGGTATGCCAGTCAAGGACAAATCCAAAGTAGCACTAGCAGGATCAAAAAATAGATTCGAAGTCCTAAATTTAGTGGATGAAAATCCTCCTTCCTCAGAGGGTCAAGGTAGAAAAGATCGATCTGTTGCTACCGGTGTTGCAGATTTGTGACCTCAAAATTAAAAAGAATGATCATTTAGATAAAGCAAAAAGTTTATCAGTTTGTGGTATCGGGGGTGCAATGGGCTCTCTATCTCAATGATTATTAGTTTTTGGAATGTTAGAGGATTAAACAATCCTCTAAAACAATGAAAAGTTCTATAAAAGGCAACCCAAAATAATGTTGATGTTCTTTGTTTATTGGATACTCGAGTTAAAGTTGAAAAATCAGTGGAATTATTCAAGACTAAATTTGCGAACTGGAATGTTTGTTCTAACTATGAATTTTCTTCCAATGGGAGGATTTGTATTCTTTGGAAAAATGGTTTGGATATTTCTTTATGTCATGTTTCAGCCCAAAGCATTTATGTCAAAGGCTCTTATCATGGTGTTCCTCTAATCATTACAACAATTTATGGCAGCAATGATGGTATTATTAGAAGACAGATCTAGCAGCAACTACACGACTTGGAAACTAATTTTGGCACATTCCCTTGGATCCTGGTAAGGGACTAAAATGTTATCTTGCATTCGAATGAAAGCTCAGACTATGAGCTTATGGGTCCAATCACTACTTTGAATGAAAGACTTACAAGGTGTCACTCAAGACTTAAACTTCAAGATCATCCTTTCTTTGGTCCTTCTTTCACATGGAGCAAAAAACAACATGACTCTTTTCTTGCAAGGAAACTTGACAGGGTTCTTATCAACCCCATGTGGGTAAATACTTTCCAAAACTCTCTTATGGAATTCCTTTCGCTTGGACCCTCTGATCAATGTATGGCTATGGTTTGGCTAAACAAAGAGGTTCAAGCTAATCGACCTAAGCCTTTCAAATTTTTCAATTTTTAGACTCTTCACCCAAATTTATTAAATGATGTTAGGCATTCTTGGCAACCGGTTATTCAAGGAAATCCTATGAAAGTCCTTTTTCTAAAGCTAAAGTGCCTAAAATCCTACCTTAAGAGCTTAAACAAATATTATTACAGTGATATTTTAGCTCGGGTAAGATAAAAGAAAAAGAGTTGGAACTTCAACAACTCTCAACCTTAAGAGGAGAAGACTCTATTGAAAAAGAGTTGAACTTACAAAGAGAGTTAATATCTCTCGAAGAAGAAGAGATCATGTTTTAAAAAAACTAAAGTGCAGTGGTTAAAAGAGGGTGACAAATGCTCTAAATTTTTTCATTATGTTATTGCTACTAAGAACAAAAGGGACACTGTCAGAGTTCTTGTTAATGAACAGGGAAGAAGACTTGAGTCCTTTGATGAAATGGCTTCTGAAGTGATTGGAATTTTCTCAAGATTGTTAGGTACTGTTGATTCTAGGGTAAAAGATTGTGATCCTTGTCTTCTGAAAGAACTGTTGCAAACTAATTTTCCTTTCGAAGATTCTTCTGACCTAGTAAAGGAAATCACTAGAGAGGAGATATAGGATACCATCTTCAATCAAGGTAATGACAAAGCTCCTGGTCCTGACGGTTTCACTCCGTACTTTTTCAAAAAATCTTGGTCTGTGGTTGGAGATGATGTGGTGGATGCTATTAAATACTTTTTTCAAGAGACCTCCATCCTGCCAGCTTTCAATGCCACTACCATTGCATAAGTTCCTAAGGTTGCTAATCCCAGCAAGGTTAAAGACTTTGGACCTATGTCTTATTGCTCGGTGGTGTACAAAAAGATCCTAGTAAAAAGGTTGACAAATCTACTCCCAGGGATAATAACTCTTAACCATACAGCCTTTGTAAAATGAAAGAGTATTGTAGACAATACCCTTCTTGCTCAGGAACCGGTGAAAGGTTATGGAAGGAATACCATTTCCCCTAGGTGTGCCTTGAAAATTAACCTCCAAAGGCTTTTGACTCTCTTCACTAGGGTTTCATTTCTGCTATCCTTAAGGCTTTAGAGCTTCCTAGTAACTTTATTGGTTGGATTGAAGCATGTTATTCAAAAGTTAGATACTCTATCTCTTCCAATGGAAATTTGATTGGCTACTTCAAGGGTGTAAGGGGAATAAGACAAGGTGACCCTCTATCCTCTATCTTATTTGTTCTTGCAATGACTGTGTTCTCAAGAATCCTTAATATTGTTGCTGCCAAAGGTATGTTCGATTACCACCCTAAATGTAAGAAGTTAGGTCTTACTTACCTATCTTTTGCAGATGACCTTCTTATCTTTTGCAAAGGAAATATCAAATCTGTTGCTGGAGTTATTAGTGTTTTGGATCAATTCTATGAATTGTCTGTTCTAAAACTAAATGCTGCTAAATGTGAATTTTATGTTGCTGGAATCACTTTTAGAAATCTAGAGACTATTAAACAATCCATGGGGTTCAAACTTGGTTGTTTGCCTATGAGATACTTAGGGTTTCCTTTAGTCACAAGAAAACTCAATGAAAAGGATTGTGTTGTTCTAATCAATAAGATTAAGTCAAGGCTTCACCATTTGTTAGAAAAGCACTTGATCTATGCATGCAGACTTGAACTGGTCAAAATTGTCATGTTCAGTGTTGCAAATTATTGGTGCAGGCAATTAATTTTTCCACAGTCTATTATTAACAGGATTGAGCAACTCTGCTCTCGATTTTTCTGGAAAGGTACTGATAAGGCCACCTCTGGAGCCAGAGTTAGCTGGGAGAAGATTTGACAACCGAAATTTGAAGGAGGGCTTAGATTAAAGGATATTAAATCATGGAACAAAGCGTGTATGATGCAACTCATTAGAAACATCCTTGCGGGAGAGGGTTCTTTGTGGGTTGCTTGGATCAAAAGCTATGTGATTAAGGATAATGACTTTTGGCTCATGGAAGAAAGAGCAAATTCAAGTTGGTGCATCAGAAGACTATTTAAACTAAGGGCAGTGGCTCTTCCAGTTTTATCTTTAAGAGCAAATAAGATAAAAGAAATTTGGGAAGAGTTACGGGTAAAGGGAAACAAAGTTCCTTGGCACAAATTGATTTGGTTCCCCCTCCACATTCCTAAACTTAGCATGATTTCTTGGATGGCACTTCTAGATAGACTCATAACTAGGGAGAGGCTACAACGTATGGGAATCGTTACTGATGGACTATGTGTAATCTGCAATGAAGTTCTGGAAACTAGGGACCATTTGTTCACTGAATGCTCTTTGGCTGTTATCCTATGGAATGTTATTCTAAATCTCACCGGCTTGAGTAGACCACCTTTGTCATGGGTTAACATCTTAGCTTAGGCATGTGGTGCTTGGAAAGGTAAGTCTCTCCTAACTACTATCTTGAAGCTTGCTTGGTGTGCATTCAATTATTCTATATGGGAGGAAAGAAATCGAAGATTGTTCCGAGGAAGTTCAAGAAATGTTGATGAAATCCTGAATTCCATTAAGGAGATTGTAGGTATTCAATTAAGATGTAGGAATATAAATAGATTAGATAGTATTAATATTAATCTTTGTAATCATTGGGGTATAGTCTAACCATTTTTTGTTGTAAATAGGTTCTCCTTTTGTTCCTTGGTTGGGATTGATTATGTAGCATAACTCTACCTCTTTGGGTAATAAAATTAAATTATCCAATATATATATATATATATATAATTTTACTAGGAAAAAATTTTAACGAAATATTAAGTGTATTTAGTAGACTTTTATTCTAAGATGTTTCGATTAGGAATTTAAATTGTGAACGTAGTCAAGTTACATTTATCGTGATTATAAATATAATCAGATGCTATTGCAGTTATTTTAGGTATCACGATCATGAAATTTTTTAAAAGAATTGATCTTTTACAAAATAAAATAGCTGTTTTTTTTAAAATAGAAAAGCAGAACAATAACGGGAATAGAGGTCCATTATTGCAGCGATCCACCATTACATGTTAGATTACAATCGTGATCCACCATTATTGATGTGATTTTACTTCACACCGTTATTTTTCGTATTAATGGTTTCAGTTGTCACCGCTACCGCTATTCTATTACCCGACCGCTATTTGAATCTCTGGTTCCAATGGTTCACAACAAATAAAAGCAATTCACATGGGATTTAAGTACGAGCATCCAAGTTTAATTGCTTGGTAAGTCGAATCTAAACATGCTAATATTCAATCTGAAGCAAACCATTCAAGAAACTGAAATGAAATGACCAAAAAAAATCCAAATGAATTCCAAGAAAACAAAATCTCAAACCAGCAAAAAGTTCCATTAACCCAAGAATTAAAGCAAAAGAAAACTGACCACTGAAAGCCCTCAAACATTATATGACTCTCTCCCAACTTGTTTTCTCTACATTCAATAAAGAAAATAACACACATAGGGTAAACAATCTACTAAGAAACTATAAGCTAAACTTAGATTTTAGATTATTGTATATACCTAGTTATAAAGTAGTCTCGAAAACCCTGGGAAAGAAGGTAGGTACCTCAACCACTGTATCATCAGAAGGAAAACCTTATCCCATTACTCGCTGCAAACAAATTGTACTGTTCAACTGTAGACTCCTTTTTATTGCAACCATGATCCGCTGAAAACTGGGAAGAAATTTCTTCCACAATCTCATCTTTCAAAGGTACAGGATTAGATTTGCATCCTGTTGAAAGAGCCACAGGCCCACCAAAATGGAACAAGGAAAAGCTAGTGTCATCGTTTTGCCTACCTTCTCTATTTGCTGCTTGTTCTGTAGCATGCAGCCTGCCAGGAACAACCTTCTGTGGGTTACATTCGGTGAAAGCTTCAATTGTTGTACAAGACTTGGGAATCTGGGTTCGTTCCTCTGCATACAAGCCACTGGCCTCCAAAACTGGCTGATAAACTGGAACGTGACAGGGGTTAAACGGTGGAGCAGCTAAATGCTGCAGAGTGCCGTATGACATGCATAAATGTGAGTTTCCGTTTAGACCATAGCCAAGAGGGCCGGTATAAAGATATGGGTTTGGAGGAGGGAAAGGCACTAAACCATTAGATGGAGTTGCTAGACACGAAACAGGATTCTGATGGTGGTAACTCATGGTTGAAGGAGCTTGGTACACTGGAAATTGTACATGTTGGCTATGCACTGATGCAAACATGCCTTGATGCTGAGAACCCATAAAGGCAGTTGGTTTTCCATTATCAGAATTTTCAGCAGTTTTTGTAGGCGGATTTCCGGGAGCTTTGTTCCCAGGACCATCTGGTGGATGTCCAAACAATGCCTGCCTTTCCGGATCAACCCCTCTATTGACTTCCTGCTTTTTATCCATTCCTTTCACCTGAAACTCAGAGAAGCCATTTTGAATGCAGATTGAAGTCTCTCTCCTATCTGATTGTTGACAGGCGTCTTCAGAATCTGATGTTGACGAAGATCCCAAATTTCCATGATGTGAAGAGGAGGTATTGCTATCTCCTTCACTAATGCATGAAGAGAAGTTATCAGAATTACAAGTGCTACTAATCATAGTATGAGGAATACCATTCAAGCTAGGGTTTCTGTTAGGAAAATTTCCAGCTTTCTCACACCCAGCATTAAGTGAAGAACATTGATTCTGTGTTTCCACATGACAGTCATTATTTGTTGCAAGGTTGGAGTTTCTTGATGTATTAACCTTGCTACGCGCATGATCAATTTCTCCCAAATTTGCACTAGCTTCACTTGAGCACGCCTTACTGGATGGATTAACAAAGTTATCATCAGGCCCATCCCCTTTATTGTAAGTAGATGACCTCAAAGTAATATATGTATCAGAGTTGCTTCGGGGGTACATTTTATGCGCTTCTGAGGGCTTCGAAACTTTCTTAGAGTGAAGTGAATCTCGACCGGTAGGATTGTTTCCGCAAACAATTTTATGTTTCAGCTTCCCACAATATTCACGCATGTGAACTTGTTGATTATACTTGTTACCACCATATACCTGCTTGGACATAGCAAACTTAGATTCTGTCTTGCTCACAGATTTGGGCTCTTGACCAACTCTAGTTGCAGACACATGTGGCTCAATCTTGGCTCTGTGTTCATTGTGTTGGCTGCAGCTGCAGGAGTAAAAGTCATATCTATCACTCCAGCCATTGGAACACCGAAATTTCTCGGTATACTTAACACTACCATTCCGACCGTTGGACTTTGCGTTGCTTATCCTTGATTGCCTATTTAATCCATTGAAGTTCCTCGAAGAAGCCTCAAAGTTTTCACTTTGATGTTTGTCTCAGATCTATTAACAGGAGCACTTTCTGAAACAACAGCAAACCAACATCGATCAGACCATTTAGTGAACGGATCGAGCTGACTATCCTTGTGAAATTTCAATCTCCGACGAGAAAATTTTGATTGTTCCATTATAAAAGGGTCATTTCCATCTTTTATCTTTGTACCTTCTCCATTAGAACTATCAAAAGAGTGATTCTGCAAACTTGAAGTGGAATTCCCATCTAAAAACTGGTCTGCTTGAACATCTGGAGAACCAGGTCCAGACACTCTAATATCTCCTGTGTCACTCACAGAGTCTCTGCAAGTAATAGCAATATTTTCTAAAACCTCGACAGCTAATGAAGAATCTTCCTTTGCAATATTAGGAGAAACAGGAGTTATACTTTCAGCAGATTTTTTCTCTCTCTCTCTTTCTTTTCCTTTCAGTCTCTCCTTTCTCCTAAGCTTTTTCTCCCGTTCTTTTGTTCTTTTCCTCTCCTTGCGTTCTTCTTCTTCACGCTTTTCCTTCTCTTCTTCCTCAAGAAGCTTCATCTGTAGAAATCATGTAGAAAAAATAATATTTATCAAAAAAGCATATGGAGAATCCTATATTTGCTGATAAGTATAAAGGAATATCTATCTCAAAGAATCACCAATTGCTCAAACCTGCTTTTCTAAAGTAATAATTCCCTTGCATGCAACATAAACACGTTCTTCCAACAGCTTAACAGCAAGACTAACGAAGATACTATGTGCATTCTGGCGTGCTGTTCCTTCCCGAAATGCCTTTTCAACCTGAATATCAAAAATGGATCACTTGTTTTTAAGTTTGTAACAAGAATTTTAGCAATAATGAGAACACAAACAACTGAAAAAGATTGACTTGTATGTCTGCTGTGCCACAGCTCCACAGACAAACTACAAGAACCTCTAACCAAAGTCCAAGCTTCTTCTTACCAAGGAAATAGTTTGAAATTTAAAAAGAAAAAAAAAACAATAACAGGGTGGCACTGGTCTTCAACAAACATGATGGAGCAAGATAGCAAGGTTGGCCTGAAACTGGTCTCAAGATATCATTGTTCACAGAACAAACGTGTTGCATTTCCTCTAGCCAAGTAGCTTATAGTATTGTGAACTATGGCAATCTTTCTCAAAGTATAACCAAAGAAAATATTTTCATTTATTATTGGTCCTGCTTCTCTAAACCACAAAGCTCAACAACAAACCATTCTGAATAGGGATTTTGTAAGAAACAATGGAATGAAATTCTTGTTAATGACTTGCCTCTTGCAAATTAACATATCAAGTCGTTAATATAAACTGATTTCTGTTAACTTCCTAACTTTCACATTCTTCTACACACAAAGGTTCAATCATCAATGGAAATGATAGAATCCCACAGCTCTTTTCATGTTTTAATTGTCAATAGAAATAACAGAATTCCATGGCTTTTTTATATGTGAATGAAAGAAGATTGAGAAGTACACTGCAAGACGTTAAAGAACAGTAAAAGTGAAAAGGTATGAACATGCCTGTTCCTTAAAAATAACAGTTGCTGCATCAAGAAGAAACTCTCGAGCAAGCTCAGGACTCTTCGCATGCTGTTGTGGACGTGGGCATTCCCCATCAAGCTCATTTTCATCCTTGTCCATGGAATCATCATCCTGAACAGATTATTTAAAAGTTCAACGTCACAATTTTCCAAAAACCTTATTTATAAGCCTCACAAAGTTTGAACTACCTCTTCTTCCTCTGCCTCTTCGGCATGCTCAAAAAAACTTCTAATACTTTCTCCCCCCGTGATTGTAACATAACCATCTCCAACTACAAGCCTGCAATGCACACATTGTTGGCCCTTTAATGCATGGGCTTTTGCAGAAAACTCAGAACAGCGGCCATCAAATTTCCAGGCCCTCAGAGTGATATAACATATACTCAAGCCATCAAGATCCAAACCATTGACTTGAACACTCCCATTCATGCCAACATTTTCAAATTCCAAGATATCTGATTTTCCTTCCCCAGTTCCAACTGCCCATTCAAAGTGGTGGTAAGTTCCGATTGTGTCGGCAAAAGTTTGACGCCAATCAGCCTGGATGGTGTCATCAGATACCTGGGTAAGTAGTACAGAAAAATATTTGCATAAGTCAGACAGATTTTGAAAATTCTCACAAGACGCTCAATATTTATGACTATGGTAGTCAAAATTGAAATTTCAGCCAATAATATTTTTATGAAGTGTTGATCAAAAGATGAACATCTGGTGTTAACTTATGTCAACAATAGTCGTGCACCAAAATTTTAAAGATAAGGATACCTCGTATAAAAACGCTGTATCTGCAACACAAAACCAACTACTGCATCGAGGTTCTCTACGCATGCGCTTTAGTTCCTTCAGCCCCTTGAACTCACGGATAACATTTCTTCTGCAATCTCTGCAAAACCTTTTGCTGTCAAACCTGAGCCAAAAATGCAAAGGTGAGATATGATATCTTTACAATACAATAGTGACCAGAAGTCTGCAGGCATGTTCTAAAGATGGAGCTAATAAAAAATAAGTGATATCTGAATACAGTTTCAGCCTAGGCCAATACTTCTTTATGAAAAACTCTTGAAAGTGCAAAAACAAAGAGAATTTTGCAAAATAAAAATAATATTAATTTCATCAGAAAGCTTTCTGAGGGTAAAAATAATGAATAAGGCTATGCCACCAATATTTTTTGGTAACCACATATTCTTAGAAAGTAGAAGTTTGTGCTTTTTGTGGAAAATGATTCTCCATTTTTTGGTGTTTTACAGAAAATAACTTGGTCAAAAGAAAATGAACTCCAGGTTAATGGAATATTACCCCCTTTTTCCGAAAATTGTCTTGTGATTGCTTTTGAAAAGCACAAGACATATTCTAGAAGTTGAAGTAAGAAAAATGGATCAGTCTAGCAATCCGTTCCTTATTGTGTAGAAGCTGAAGCAAAGGAAACAACAATCAATTCCTTAAGTGTAGGGATCAATCTTTTTTATATCAATGTAGAGTTTTCAAAAGAAAAGTAAAAGAAAATATATTTTATGCAGGATCATCAAAACAACATAAAATATCACCTTTTCCAACAAATAAGTCCATTCTCGAAAAATCATTTTCCGAAAGCCATTTTCTAGAAGAAAAATAAAGAAAAAAAGATGTAGGCAGCCTTAACGTATGATATTTGAATCCCTTCTACTTATCACTAAACAAAAGCCAAAGGTCATGAGCAGAAGATGTGAAAAGAAGCTTCAGCCATTCCAGTTCATTAAATGTCTAATTTTTATTGCTCAAAAGAAATTGTAGCATATTCATTTTTCTACAACTCTCAGTGTCCTCTAAACATATGCACCCATCCAAACATTTTTATAGCCTCAATTTGTATCCACTTCACAAAAAAGACAATTTTTCAATACCATTCTCTGTGATATATTTCCTAATGCTTATATTTCTAGCCAACAAACACCAGTAATGACTATCAGTGGTCAAAAAGTCCTCCAGTGAAAGTGTAGTGTCTTAGTAACATTTGACTCCGTATAAACAAGAAATATTGAACGAATTGAACAAGTAAAAATTAAGGATTATAAGAATGATAAAAATCAAGTAGACAAAGCAATATTAAAGAGTCTAGAATTGAACAAAAGAAAAAAAGAAAAACAAGTTTAGAGGTCTTTTTTCTAGGGAACAGAACTGATGCAAGCTACTCATTAGCCGCTTATAATTCCAGGTTCTAAGATCTTATTGTTTCCACTCTCTAAAAGAATCATAACTTTTCGTTTGATCTCCTTGGATATAGCAAAATTTTGGCCAACATCACTCATCCTCATTGTCCACTACTCCTTTATCCACTGTCTTCCAAAGGAAGCAGCACTCAGGTGTTTCTGGATTCTTACTATTTCAAAGCTTCCTCGAATGGAAAATTCTTAAAGACTGGCCTTTCTGGACCTTTGGTCCCATATCATGTTTGAAAGCAAAAAAGATCACTATTCCCAACTGCAACAGGTCAAAACATGCTTCCAGGAGTACTAGTCACTATCGATATATCTTCACATTGCTAAACTCTAGAGACTGCAGCAGGATGTTTAAATATATTGACAAAATGGCCCAAGAATTACACCACTGTATAAAGAACAGGCTCATTCAGGTAGCTGCTTCAATAAAGCTCATGTCATAGTGAAGCCAACCGACAAAAAAGAAAAAAAAATCAATACCTAGCTGTTAACTTTTTCAATTATATAAAATTCAGAATTAAAATAATGACATTCAATCAGGCTAATCTCGGGAAATGTCTTTTTCCAGTCTGCAGTATGGATTTCATTTCCCCACTTCATACTAACACTGATAGCTTGGAAACCAGATACTCCAATATTGATTAACACTCTGATAGCTTGGAGATCAGATACTCCAATATTGACTAACACTCTGATAGCCTTGTGGGAGACTTAACTTTGGCTGATTTGCACCGTTTCCTACGAAGAAAGTTTCCCCTAAGTCAACGTGGTGCCTTCCTCCTCCGGGGGATTTTAAAGTGAATGTGGATGGGGCTGTAAGTTGCGATTGAAGGTGCAGTGGTATTGGTGGTCTGCTTAGGGATGCTGATTATAAGCGGTTGGGGTATTTCTCGGGAGAGTCCGGACCAGGCCCTCCGATTCTTGCCGAGCTTAAAGCAATTCAAGCTGGTTTAAGTCTGTTTCTGTTTTTGGATTAGGAGTGGAGTGATAAAGGGAGTCTTATTTTAGAAAGTGATTCTTCTATTGCTTTGAAGTGGATTAACAATCCGGAGGCAAGTCCGGTTGCTTATGTTCATTTGGTTAAGGAAATTGTCAAGCGAGTGATGGAGCACAATGTGACTATTAGGCATGTTCAGAGATGTTTTAATTGGGAAGCAGATAGTTTAGCTAAGTCAGGCATAGGATAATGTGGGGTGTTTTGGTTGGGTGAGGTGGGTGAGTGATTTGGGTATTTTTTTGGGGAACTTTTGTACTTAAAATGATCTTATCTTGGATGTACTCTATGTGTTAGTAATAAAATTTTGGGCACTCTTTTCCTCCTTCCAATGGCCGTTGAGTCCTACGCAACTTGACGGTTATGAAGGGGGTTTTTAATGAGGCCCTATTCTTATTAAAAAAAAATAAAAAACTAACACTCTGATAGCATGGAAACCAGATACTCCAATATTGCATTTATTTTGCAGGGGTAGTCAAGTGTCACCTAGGAGAAGAACACAGGATAACTAAACTTCTCAAAAACACACAAATGAAATTTCATGTCTTTAATACCATTAACTACTGTTCTCTTAATCATCATGAATTTCCACCACCACTAGTTTATATTTCTAGCTCCAAAGATAACTGCTTGTTCAATGACTATAAGACTTGACTTCACATTGTTCGGCGACAGAACAATATAGCAAATGAAACACTTTCAACAATAAAGAAGCTACAAACACACCTGTACATGAGCCTCTCAATGAAATCTTCTTCCTTCATTCTTAAAAGAGATTGCTGAGTTTCTTCTCCAAGAGCTGACCAGAAATCCACCAAGGTATCACAAGAAAGCCTGGCAGTGTGCAGGGCACATGTTTCTCTTGTTCCATGACCTCTTCCATAACTAGCAATACCTTGGCTAATCCAACCCCTACCTCCCCCACCACAAGCATCAGGATAAAGCAATTCACGTTCCCTCTCTCTTGCACGTGCACTATCAAACACCTGATTCAATTGAAACATTAACAACTAGACGAAAAAGTAAGGATAACCATAGAAAGCAATTTGATCAGTACAAACATTTTGGAGACCCTTGAGCGACTTTGAGCACAAATAGCAGTCAAGAAGTGTCAGTGACCCATCACGGTTTGTTGTCAAACCTCCCCAAGGATGGACAGATGGATTTTGAATTTCATCTTGTGACCCATTCGTCATACTCCATCCACCATCACTATGGTTTTTTGTGACTCCTGAACTGTTGTAAGGAAGGCTACCAGCTACACCCTCCTGCTGCAAGGATTTTCCATGCATGACAATCTGTAAAAACCGTTCAAGCAGTAGCCCATTACATCTGGAGCAGTACATAGTCTTGCGAGCTTGCTCAAAAAGGGCTTGTTTATCAATTCTAAGAAGCTCCTGTCGAGCTTGTAATGGAAGCTCACTCCAGAACTGCAATACAAAAACACAGCTCTTCCTGGTGACTAATCAGAAAATTAAATCAATAAACAGATACTTATGAATCACATCTATCATTAAACTGTATAAGCAATGACATCAGGCTTTTTTTGGTACATATGGGAAGTGGAGATAATGTGAAAATCCAGTAGGTCTCGAGCTACACAAGGGAGGCAGCTCTCACCTATCCCATAGATCCTGCTTTCCTCCATCCCATGGACTCAAACCTGAATTCTCTAATCAGAGTTTCACATTCTACCCATTTGGGTGCCCCGTTGGTTAGAGATAGCACAATCCTGTTTGCCGTTGGCAAACAAGAACCAATGCTTCAATTTCCAATTCCTCCTCAATCACCTACCAGTACTTGTGATAGCCAGAAAATAGAAACAAAATTTAAAAAGCATAGACCTCGACTGAAAGCCACACAGAGCTCAACAAAGAGTAGGAAAACATTTTGAAGAACCGACAGTGACGAAGTTAATTATCAAACCTCTAATTTTTATTTCCTCCATTACTCTATCCAAAACCAGGAACAGCACTAAAAGATCACCTTGAGTATAAACAAAATTAGGCAACTAATTTCTATACTCTCTAAGGAAAGGCAGATGCCATAAAACAACAAATGCATTATTAGAATCAAATTTGGCACAGAATCAAAATTAACGGAATCCGGTAAACAATAAATAAATCCAATTAAATTAAGATCCAATCCAAACTTAAACAACGCATTAGATAAACAAAAAATAAAAAAGAAACAGTGATCCAATCCCAATTTAACTAAAACAATTACATTACCAAAAATTTCAACAAAAAAAATTAAGTGAAGAAAAAGAAAATCCAATACCTTCTGAAGTTGATTGTAGCTAACATCGTCGCGATGCTTAGACCAAAACCCGAATGAAGCACTACTATATTGCTCATTTCTTTGCGCTAATCCTGGCATCCTTTGATTTCTTAAACTCTCTTTGATTTAGAATTAATTAACAATCTTTCCATCCCCGCCCTTCAATTCCTTGTTGTTTTTACACAACCGAATCAATCAAATTTAACAATATATATAATAAAATAAAATTCAATGATTATTGGGTGGTTTTCTTCTTTCTTCGGGATCCAAATCCAATTGAATTTGAGAAAGAGATCGAAGAGATAATGGAAAAATTCAAGGGGTGGGCTTCAGGATTATAATCAGATTTGATGCTGCATTTTATCTATTGATTTTAATTTATAATCATACATTTTTAAAAAATAAGATAAAATGAAAATCAGTGAGAAAGGATCTTGAGGCTGCTTTTTTGCCAAGGGGGGAATGACTGTTACATTAAGTTACTTGTTACTTCTATGGTTAAAAAAGTAAAATAAAAATATTAATTATTATATGGTAACTACTTTTAGAAAAAAAAAGTAGTTAATTTTTTTAATTGGAAATTCTTTTGTATAAAGTTTGTATTAGTTTCATTTTTTATTGTTGTTCCTGGGAATAAATTAGTTTTGTCAGTCGTTGGCAGTTCATCCCTTCTGTTTAAGTAGAGAGTTACGGTCGATTATAAGATAATTGTTAGTCGATGTTTCTCTGAGAGAGAGAATTGACCATGAGGGTAAAGAAGAAGAAGAACTAGCAGGTTGTCCCAAGATAATGGAGGTTTCATCCCCTCTTTCGATCGTATTGAGTGGTATTTATAAAGACACTTAGTTGTGATGCCAAACATAAGATAATTATGGTTATTTTTAGGTTATCAAACTAAATAAATCTGATCGTCAGATCTTGGATTTCACTCTGGTAGGTCACATAAGCCTACTAGAGGTTTAGTCTTTGTACTACGTACAATATGAGTGTATGTACCTAAAAGATGTGAGTTTGTTATAGCTTCGATAAGCGGAGGGTCAATACAAACACGACATATATGGCCCTTGATCGAACAACTCTACAAAACATGGAGATGAAGCGTAATGAGAGCTTCCGACAATATGTACAACAATGGAGGGATATTGCATCTCAAGTGCATCCACCAATGATTGAAAGAGTATCCATCACTATGTTCATACATACACTAAAATCTCCATATATTAACCATATGTTAGGGGTTACCGTTAAGAGTTTCTCAAAAATTATCATATGTGGAGAAATGATTGAAAGGACTGTTAAGAATGGTAAAATAGGGGCACCAACAGCACTAATGCTGAGAAAATAACTGAAATCAATATGATTGATCCCATTTAGTTAATCATATGACCAAACCTCATAAAGTGATTCGAGAAAGGACTCATATTGATCCAATTCCAATGACATATGAGGAATTTCTCCCAATACTTATAGATAAAAACCTTATGACCTCGGTTCAGTCTAAGCCAAAAGAGCCCTCGTATCTTGAGGGCTATGATGTTAACGCCATATGTAGCTACCATGTAGGAAATTCAGAACACACTATTGAGAATTATGAGGCATTGAAACGTAAAGTCCATAATTTAATCGATTCAGGTGCATGGACATTTGATGGGTAATGGGACATTCTGATGTGAATCAAGAGAAGTCATTGCATATTGTTGAGTTAATCGATCGACTGAATTAGCCAAGAGATGGTGAATTGGCAATTAAAATTTTGGTGGAAGCTTTAATAGAAAATTGAAAAGATTTGCATAGCGATTTAGAGTGGTTCGACTTTCTCAACCAAAGTCTATGTCCACTACCTTAGCTATCCACACTAAGGTCTTTCCACAAATTCACTAGTTTTTCTTTCTTTTGAGGACAAATAGTAGCCTTACAACTCCCTCAAGAATTATACACCAAATTCTTGAGACCCTCTCTTCTCAAAGAGAAAATTACAAACTTTGCAAACTTACAGGAAAACCTCAAAAAGTAAGATTGTTTGCACAATTCTAGAACAAAGAAAGAACACTCAAAAATGAATACGATTGAGCACAAATTGTGTTCTTGAAAGAAAAAATGAATATTGAATGGATGTTGGCTTGAATTGCTCAAACTTGATGTTTAAGGCTTTCTCTTTTGTTTCTCTAGCTTCTCTTGTTCATCAAGGGCTTCAAGACTTGTTTAAATACACCTATGATAAATTCTAGACGTTGGGGATGATCATGGAGTGAATGGAGCCGTTGAAGTGTGAAATCCATTTGAAAAGTCTGTTGGGAGCGTATCGGTACTCCTTCATAGGGGTATCGATACTACCTGTATAAAATTTAAATATTTCAACTGTTGCAAAACCGAAGGTATCGATACCTCTCATGGTATTGGTACCCATTTTGCATTCGATGTTTGTCTCGGATTCAAAATCACGTAAGTAGTATCGGTACCCATAACCATGGTATCAATACTACTATATAAGGGTGCTGATACCTTGTAGGGTAAGGTATCGGTACCTCTTTTGTATTCGATGTTTAGGGGTATCGATATTATCCAAGGAGGTATCGGTACTACCCTATTTAAAACTTAATTTTGACTTGATTATGGTTCGAAATACTTTGTAAAAATTATTTCAAAAATATTTTAAGAGTGAAACACAATTTTTCATTTAAGGAGTAAAATTGAAATTTGAAGACTTGGAGTAATATTTATAATATTCGAATTATTAAATAGAATATAATATTTGAAATTGAATATAAAATCTTAAAATTCAATAACACTTTATTTGTTATATTGAAACATCAAAATGTTTTCAACAATCTCCCTCTTTTTGATATAACAAAACTTTTAGAAATTTTAAGATTTTCTTTTGAAAAATCACTTTGAAAATTATTATTACTCACCCTTACTATATTCTCCCCCTTTTTTTAAATCAAAAAGACTATAAACGTTAAACAAAATAGCCAAATTGATATATAGTTTAAGCTGCTAAGATCAAGCCAAGAGAAATATTAGCCTTTAGTCCACATAATAAATATTTATAAACTATATGCAATAGGGATTGGTCATAATATTTCTAATATATATAGGTTAATGAACTAATGAAATAAGCATTCAATTAAGTTCAAAATATTAATCAAATATTACACACAAAACATCCAAACAACCAAATATTCAAATCTGTTAAACAAACAAATTCATCAAAATGTTAAAACAATGTAAGGTTCATAGTTTCAAACTAAGAAAAGTCAGTCATCCATCGGAGGATCGGGAGGAGAGAAATGTGTTCGCATAGAAGCCACATCTCATGTAAGCGCATCTACCTTAGCATTGAGTTCGTCAAAGTGAGCTCGAGTTTCCCTTTGTTGCTCTAAATGTTGAGCCGTTAGTTGGGACTCTAAGGATGCAAACTTCAAGTCAAATGTCTCCATGAAAGATCGAAAGTATGAAGGCATCGGACTCTCTTGCCTGGCTGGCTAGTCATCGGTCTGGTTTATGGGATCGTCAATATCCCGTAAGAGGTCTTCAAGCTCTTGAGCCGGAGCAGGAGCAGCTCATGATGAGCTAGCACCTAGAGTTTTCTTCGTTGAGCGAACCCATTGATCTTTGTCTCCAGTCCATCCTGATTTTCATAAAGATGTGAAGTTGATTTCTGAGGTGAGTGGGATGGCTACATCTAGATCTACTGTAAGACCGGATTTCATAAATATATTACTAAGTAGGCAACCATAAACTAAAGTTTATATTCGTTTTGAAGGAATGTTGTTTACGGTGTCTATTAGTTACCCAAAGATAATTTAAGGGAGATTTATTTTCTTGATATGTTGGATACAATGTATCCACCATAAGTCAAGAGCTCTAAACGTGGAGTATTTTCCTCCGGATGGTCTAAACCACCAAGAGATTATAAGATGAATGAAACGTTCTTGGTACTCTAAAACACTCGCACTCAACTTGACTTCATAAGGGAAAGGCACTAAATCTCGCTCATTATCTAACCCTTGATTATCTAATCCAAAGGCTGCAGTAATGTAATCCGATTCTACATTGATGTATTGGCCCAAGAGATAGGATCGAATACTTTCAGTGGCAGTTTGAGACTCGTTTTGTATACAAACGGCATTGGAGTAGAAAATGCGTACAAGTTGTTGATAGACAACGGGTTTAACTTTGAATAAGTTATCAAACTTCCACGCTTTATGGGTAGGGAGGTATTTGAATTTCATTTCTACCATAACCTTAAGAGATGGGATACGTTTTTCCTGAATGTTGTATGACTCAAAATGTTCAACGTACCTAGAGTAGAGACCCTTACGGTTAGGTTCGTTAAAACATGAATTGAGGTAGTCATTTCGGGTTCATTTGGATTTGGATTTGGAGGTGGAATAGGAGGTGGGTTTTGTTTGATCGACTAGACCTAGGATGTTTATGAGACTGAAACATGGTTCAATAAATCAGAATAGGATGGGATACCTGCAATTAAACAACATATGTATGCAACACAATTAATCCCAAAACTCAATATGAGTCCTCAAATTTAAGGTTCTCTAACACTAGTGTCTAATGGGCAATTTTGGAAACTAAGTTTGAAGAATTATAATATGTATAGTTTTCACAAAACCATTGTAAATAAATCAAAAACACTAATTTAAAACAAAAATATTTTTTTTAATTTCGAAATTTATGAAAAAATTCTGAAAAAGTGTGTTTTTGATAAAAATTAGTTGTAGATTCTAGTGAAGAACTATAATCTACAAAATGCTCGATCACTAATTTGAACTAGAACTAACTAGAAATGGTCTTATGTTCAAAAATCAATAAAATAGTGGTTTAGAAAAATTACCTTGCAAAATTCGAGATTGAGTGGAATGTAGTGTTGTTTGTACGATTTTAAAGATACTAGCAGGATTTGGAGTTGAAAAAATGTTGAATGCTGACTTGAAATCATAGGAATGAAGCAAAGTGGTGATTTAGGGTTGAAAGAGAGAGGAACAATAGAGTACTTGATGTTTTTGGGGTTTTTTGGCCAAATGAAATTTTAGGGATTTTAAAGCCTAAACCCGATAGGAGGTATCGGTACCCCTTTAGGGGTATCGATACTTTAAGGTATTTTTCGAGTAGTATCGATACCTGGGTATTGGTACTATTAAGAACAGTATCAATACCTGATAACTCCGAAAAAAGACTTAAATTCTAGTCTTTTCACTTAAGTTATTGCTCGTCTAAACAAAGTACGCACTGCATTTTTAGTTGTATTTAGTTACATATAAGTTGTGGTGGATAAGTTTTGCTGGATAAGTTTTGCCTAGGAAAGATTTATTTGGCTTAACTGATGTTGCTGAGGAGAAGGGGTTGTTTGAGTTGTGTTTGTATAGGAATTCTACAAAGAAAGAACATTTTAGTCGTGACAATGAAAAGTTGCAAAGGCCAATGGAGCAGATGAGAACGTGAGGAGCAGATT